CAAATAGAGGGACACGTCTCCAACGGCAGTTGTCTTCAGCTGGCGGACGAGAGCAGCGCAAGGCGGGCTGGCGTAGTCAAGGCGGACCTTGAGGGTAACAAAGTCATCCGGCAGCTCGCTGCAAGCATCTCAACCGGAACCAGCACGTCTCCCTCGGTATTGATCCGCTGGGGAAGACGGATGTCCAAGTGTGTGGGTGTCAGATTCGGAAATTCTTATCCACGTTAAACAAATCCACGCAAAGGCCACAGTGTCAACTGTGACCCTCACTCAGGTGTAGGGACTGACACGGTCATCCTACTCTGAAATTGGTATCTGTATGTCTGTACATGAATCTGTATCTGTGCATGGATATGTATCTGTACATGAATCTGTATCTGATTGCAAATGAAGATATCGAGTGATTGCAATAGTAATGCATGTACTCCTAAGCAATTAATTAGTGACTAATGAGTGACTCATTTACTTTGTATATTTCTAAATTGTTACTCCGGAGTAAGTATTTATTTATTTATTTATTCAAGCTTTGCCACAAGTGGAAGGGAAGGGAGAAACAGGTGGAGACCACCTTTACAGGCTCCCTCCCGAAAGACATAAATGACATTGCAATCAATCATAGTTAAAACTAATTAAACATATTGCACAACATCGTAAGTAGACAATAATAACAATATATATACTTGCACAATTTCATAATAGCTAGATCTCTGCACATGTACATCCGGCCGTGGAAGTACCCCATGTCTACCGTGGCCTTATTGCCAGACATGTGGCACACCGACAAGCAGACGTCCACGTGCAGAGATTGTCAGTAACAAAATGATCATTAAATCTCTTGGTCAGCGATTTGACAAGACCCCGTTTGAATGTTAAAAGCTCGGACTGCCCCGAAGCGACAGCCTCCATGTCCCGGACTCTGACTTCCAGTCTGTTCCACTCAGCCACCAAGCGAGGGATGTAGGAAGTAGCGAATGTTGATGTTTTGCAGCGAACTGGCATTAGCATATGAGACCTACTACCTCTTGTTGGACGTGATGAAAATGAAACATAATTATGCATGTCTAAATCGTACACATTAGCCGTGGACTTAACATACAACATGATGTCAGCGATCTCTCTCCTATATGAAAGAGGTAACAGGTTGAGGTGAGCTAGTCTAGCCTTGTAGTCAAGTTCACAAGCATTGGCATTTGCACCTATAATGAACTTGGTTGCCCGCCTCTGCATGCCTTCCAACAAGGACATCAGATTGCGAGACAGAGGTGACCATATTTGACAACAATATTCAAGTAAAGATCTAGCCAATGATACATACAAGGATTTGCGTACCACAAGGCTGGACTCATAACCAACAGTGCGTCTGATGAATCCAACCATTGAATTGGCTCTAGCAACTGTTTTCACAATGTGACTGTTCCAAAGCAGATCAGTTTGGGCCAAAACCCCTAAGTCATTCATATCTTTGACTGTAGATAGAACGATGTCTGACATATGATAGGTAAAAATTATTGGGCTCTTGGAACGTGTCAGACGGAGAACCTTGCACTTCGATGGATGGAAAGACATCCCCCACCGAAGGCTCCACTCGTACATAGAGAAAATATCATTCTGCAATTTTTGACAATCTACAGCGTTACAAATCTCTCTGTAGCATTTAGAATCATCTGCAAACAGTGCTACAGTGGAGTTTGCTGCAGTGATGGGTAGATTAATATACAATAGGAACAGAAGTGACCCCAAAATAGACCCCTGAGGAACACCAGAGGTTACTGGTCGCCACTCAGAGTTGCTACCCTCTACCACAACCCTTTGCCGTCGGTTGGACAAGTATGATTCAAACCATTTTAACAAATCCCCACCAAATCCAAACATCTGCAGCTTATGTATCAGGAGGGTATGGGGCACTGAATCAAATGCCTTTGAAAAATCGAGAAAAAGCATATCTACTTGACCCCCCTTATCCAGTACACAGCCAATTTGGTGATATACCTCAAGCAACTGGGTGGTGGTAGAT